TATACAAGCCTATCACTGTGAAGAGAACGAAGACCTGAGACACAGCGTTGAGAAAATGCAAGATTGCAAGTGAGTGACATCTTACCACAGTGATAGTTCCACTACGTAAAGTTAGTCCTTCATGCAGGTAAAGTACGCTGGCAGGAAAAACGAAAATCAACATCACCGCGCAAAAGCCTCCCAAAACGCCGAGTAAATCCACCAACGACGGAACCTACAACACAAAGCGTCTAACCGTTAAGACTCTAACCTGTTATGCAAGAGGTCCCGCGTTCGATCCCTCCATCTTACCGCTATGGCACATAATGCACAAATTATGCACAGCAGAAACGTTGTTGTTGTATCTAAAAGTCGACTACTGATGAAAACTCGTCATGGAAATGACCAAACTCACACACGATGCTTGACACACGAGATGCCGCCGTCCCCAAGGCCGACGACGATGTGGTATACATCCCATCACCGTCGAGAAGTGGCTCCGACCGATCACACGTAGTAACCTGACGAGAAGTATACCCCCTACCCAAAACTCATAAGCTCTCACGTCCATCGATGGTACAGCTGCCAACATCAGCCTCAACATATTCTCCCGAGCAGGGTTCAAACACAGCACCGAACCTAGTAACAACACACCATCACGACAACTTGCTCTCTTGCATTGGATCCTCAACTCACACATTATCAGCATTGGCGTCATCGCTACTCTCGCTATGGTAGCCAGAATTGAGGTTGACGGCCAACACGATAATACCTAAAGAATCTCTGATGAATCAACCCTAAAGTCAACTCGAGAGATTTCAAATTATATACAGTGCGTGCCAATTTGATATGCAAATGTGCATTATTTTCCGAGGGTGATGAGAATCGCTCTGAAGCTAAATCGCATTTACAATGTAACAATAGTTACTATGAACATGTGTTGCGATCAAACTACCCCCGTTTGGGACTGTGGTGATAGCGACAACTTGTTCACTACAATTTGACCTCGTAAAACAATAGACATTTGTATATGAAATTGCCGTTCCGCATATCTCAGTGAGCTTGATATGTTTAAAAATGAGGTTGAAAGCCCGCGATTATGATTCTGATAGTATCTCAAATTCATTTGGAGTACTCTATACTTTCCAATAAAATCAATGACCCCCTCTCCAGCGTGCACTCAACCTATTCTCAATACTCACATCAGCTCCGTCCTTCGCGATGAGCAGCCCTTCACCCCACAAATAATATCTGCAAAATAAATCAACTCCCTCCTGCAATTCACACATCTATAAAATTTGATATTTTTCCCACATCGACGGCTTGTGACCTACCACGTGTTCGTATACATCAGCAACAACGCCATCGAGAACTACCGTTCGAATTGAAACATTCACGAACTACACTATCATTAGTTCATAGCTTCCCCACAGACCGTTCTTAATCGAAATTCGATCTCAACTTTACTTACCAAAACTCATCGAAAAGAATAAAGTACACTCCTATTCTACCCCCCGTCGAAATTTCAACTCAAATTCCTTCTAGGAGAAGGCTTCTACTAAATACAGCTGAGTAAAATCGCCAAGCTCACCCCAACGTGCCAACAGCTCCATAGGCGAACAGCATACAGAGGGTGGCCAAAAGGATCATATCATTCGACCGTTTCACAGTAGGATTCGGCAACTCTGAATTCACCGGAAAAACCTGAAGAGGAATCTCGTGTGAACTTAATCAACAAGAAATAAAAATATCATATTTTTGAAAATTATTACGAAAATTTCCAAACTTTTACCTTGGCAGAACCTCAATCTCAGGAAAGGAAATGCTTCTCCCAAGGCGTATCGATAAAACTCATCACAGAAAATTCTAAAAAAATTTCGGAATTTTTTCCCATATTTTCTCTGAGAACCCCTCACTGAATTCTCACATTCATGTGGCACATAAATGCAAAGAAGAATATGCTGCAGGAGTTAGCAACGCCGGTCCACGAAAAGGGAGACGCCGATTGAGGTGATGGACAATTCGACGATTCTGAAAAATGGATGACGCTTAACAAGTTTTTCATAATTTTTTTCAGAAAAACATATTTCACAAACCACTACACAGCGCGAATATCGGGTTTTTCACGGAGTATTACGCAAATTCAATGAGGTCAAACAAGAGGAATATGGATATTCTGAAGGCATGTGTAATCTATCATGCTGATGCATATAAGGATGAATTAATCGATACCCCATTTTCCATATGGGAATAAATATACGACTATATCGACATACAATGTCGGAAATGTGCACTGTACCTTCCCCTGGGTGATGTGGTTGAACATAACGATCACGAGTGGGCAGTACGATTAGATGCTACAATTCCTACCGTTTTAAATAGTCATTCACGAGTATTCCACTTAGCTGCACTTGCTGTGCAAAGAAGAAAAATGAAATTGTAAAAATGAAATTCCTTTTTATGAAAAAAGTGGGAAGAAATTATATGCTTTTGGTACTGCCCAAATTCCTAGCTTCTGGTTTACAGAACTTACCCCTATCCAATGGCAAAAATGTCGACACCAACAACATCAATATCTGAAAAAAAACATACTCAACAACAACTCCTTCACTACTCACAGTGAAGAAACACGCCATCGATCTTAGTTACTTTTACTATCACTGTAAACAGTGTTGGAATGTACGATCGCCCTCCAAGCTGAATTCAAAAATTTCTCCACATTTTATAAGTATACAAAAACGAATAAAATTTCTAAAATTCTTTCATAGATTTCATATCGTCACCAACATGACCATCCGTCCCTACTCACCACATAGAAGATCGGCAAAGTGCACAACAACGTGAGTAGCTTCCATCGGGTAACGGATTGGGGTAAACAGAGGGGGAATATAAACTACAAAAAGCCTGTGCCGGGGATCGAACCCGGGACCTCACCATCAGCGTTAAAACTGTTATAACAAACGCCTTGTTGTCGTACCAAGCTGTCGTCGTGAAAATTCCTATGAAACTATGTATCTGAAAAAACAACTTCCCTGAAAATTACAAAGCCGAAAAACGTAATTCAAATTCATCCTCAGAAACTTCCTCACGAAATAGGCGAAAATTTTTCCGATAATTTTCCCTCTTACAAAATCGAACATGAAGTTCATGAAAGCCGCAGTCGCCCCAAAACAGTCCAAAAACAATACACTTTCAACCACGCGGCAACTAGCAGATCCTGAAAGCAACAGGCCCTGTAAAAAGCGCGCGCCCAGATGATCGATTTCATACCCATATACAGCTTAACACAGTCTTGATAGCTCGTCATTCCGGTGGCTCTACCAACGTCGAGGAGGACCTTCATAGACGCCAACGATGCGACGCCACTCAGAACGAGGATACTTATCCCCCACCAGAATCCTAAATCTTGCAATCTTGCATTTCCTCAACGCTAATGATTCCTACCCAGCATTGCAAAGGCCCAAGGCAAGCTCAAAATGCCCACACCAACAGCTGAGAATACC